GAGCCAGGAGCAGCAGACACAGCGCTGATGTCTCTCTAAGGAAGGTGGGCATAGCCATCAAGAGCCAGGAAATCTCACATTGCTCATATTTCTCTAAACTCATGAATGGCATAAAAGGGACAAAGTGCTTTGCTGGTCTGAGACATTTATTTGTCAGTATCTGATGTTGCTTTGTCTTGTGTTGTTTATGTACAATTTACCTCAGTCTTGCCACCAAACATGGAGATTATAGTTCCAACCTGATAAATAACTTTGTCAACAGAATAAATGAATTCTGTATATTTCCCTAACCTAAATTTATTTAGTTCATAGCTCTATATTAGTGCTAGGGTCTTTTTATTACTTGAGCTTTGTGATTCAGGAAAGCAACTTTGAATTTCTGAAGCCCTTAAGCATATGCTTAACTGAAGCCTTGTGCTTATAATCAACTATGTGCTGGTGAGCTGCCATGAATCTAAGACTTAATTTCTAGTAGATTTATTTATGTGAACAAAAAGTTGTATTTTAGGAGGAGAAAGAAGTGATGTCATCAACTAGTTACAAAACCCCTGAGCTAATTTGCATGAGAAAGATGCAAGGCTCTTTGTGTTCTTATACAAGACATGATAAGAGAGCCATACATTTATCTAGTGTAGCACTTCTTATCCTCAAAACTTTGTAAAGTTTTATTCTCCATTGTTTGTCACAAAATCCCCTAAAGCTACAGATATGCCTTTCTTTGTCCCAGAAAATTCCTTTGAAGCTTGACTTGAGTTAAAACACTAGAATTGCAGTTTTCTCTGCACTTAAAAAATGTCCATCACATCGTTTCCCAGCACTGCAAAGAAGAGCACCATGTACTCCTGCACAGGCAGTGCCAAGGCTTGCTACACAGAGAATTGGTTGGAAACATTCCTGTACTTTGTATTTCTAACCAGAGCACATGGATTAAGTGATCCATTCTAACTCCTCCAGGGGCTTGGAATATGGTCCCTTGGTTCCAAGAGGGAGCAGGACCTGATCATTAGAGCATCTCCCCTGATTTCTTTCTGCTCCCAAACCATCTGTTTCTCTGTGGTAATAGTCTTTTGCTGTTCGTTAACGTGGTTAATCCTCTAGCGTAAGCTGTAGTAATTTATGCTGGATGTTTGGGTTTCATGTGGTACTAATGGTATCTAATGAACTGTGGCTTCAGAAACATCTGTTCTATACAATAGTTAATTTTTTTATTTTCTTTCCTTTTTTTTTAATCCCAGTGATTGGATACACAGAAACGGTTAGGAAGTCTTTAGGCTGCAAAGATTAGAACTCAAACCTTTGGTACTGAAATAGGCCAAATTTAATACTACTGATGCAACCTCAATTTAGCCTCCACTTGTTTATGAATTGCTTGACATTGATGCATGTTATTACTCGCTGCCTTTTCACTTGCCAAATGAAAAAGAGGCTGAAAGAAGGTTGAATGGGACACCTGTAAGATGGCAGGTGTCACTTAGGCATATGACTAGAAGCTAGAGAATATCTCTTTTTTCAACATGTTCAATATTTGTGTGATACAATTGAGCAATATGACAAAAAAAAAATCTAAGCAAGTATTAATTTAAAAGTAAGAAACCTGCAAAAGTTGAAACTAAATTGTTAATATTAATAAAGGCAATGCTCCAGAATAGCATGAGTGAGAAATGGGATGTGCTAAAAACAATCAGTAATATACTGTTTGTACTTCAAAAAGAAAATAAAAATTAAAAAAAAAAGACAAAAGTATTACTTAATTATAATGTTGCAGAGTTAATAATGCAATAGAAATCCTAGCTCTTTCTGATTTGAGGGCTTCATTTCTGTCTTCATGTTGCAGTAATGTGGTTTCCAGATTTAATTTCCTTATATTTATTTAACAACTCAGAGGGAAAATAAGAGAAACACATTGTGAAAATACTATAATGAGATCACAGTGCTACTAACATGCCTTACGTTTTCTATAAAGTGCTTGATTGCATTTGGAGTCACCTCAGCAGCACTAAATCATTTCAGCAGTTTACTCTCACTGCCAGTGTCATTAAACTTCTCCAAGTTTAGGAAATGCATTTGAAAAAAAATAGAAAAAAATCCCCTCATGTTCCTGTATGAAAATGTCACCTTATAACATCCATAGCTTCAAAAATAAAAACCAGATTTTCTGCAGGCATGAACCCTTTATCCTTCCCCTGTGGGACTCTTTAAGAGCTCCTTAAATTCACATGATCATGCAGCTAAAGTCTGGGCTGACTCAGCAAAGTGTTTAACTATGTGCTTAAATTCTATTGCAATCAATAGAATTTGAGAATGTGCTTAAATACTATGTTGAAAAGAAATGGATTTACACGTGTTTTAAACCTAAGCATGTACCAAAGTAGGCTTATAATATGTCAAAGCAAGTCGGAAGAATTCAGGTTGTAAAAACCCTACCTTTGGGGTGACTGACTTCATAGCTAAAATATTTTTATATAGTTTTTATGTATCATCTAAAATGTAAAGCATAATGCTATAGCTATTATGGTCTGTGAGTTAGTGAACGTAAGACAGTTTATGTGTCTGTCAGTTTAAAACAGGTACATCAAAATTAAGAACACTTGCAGCTAAATATCTAAATTTATATTTTCTGGTCTTGAATATAGTTTGCTTTTAGTTAGTTACTGAAGTAGTTGAAGTAATTTATAGCTGTGAACACTATCTTTAAAAACACAGCTGGCATGTATAAGAAGTTATAAACACATAGGGGTACCTTAATACCAGGATGCCACACTCCACAGTTTTCCATGTTCTGACCTGTTTTTTACTTATTCCTCCGTGTTTCCCTGTAATATGAAACTTGATTATTTTGAGGCGCTGAATCACCAAACAGCGTCATGTTCTGTTTGGCTGAAAGGCATAAGCAATTCCACTTTTTCTATTTACTTCTGTCTATAAAAAGCTTTTTCTGCCTTAGAGGAGATTTCTCCTTCTACCATTGCTGCCTCTTGCACTGTGTTAAACTGCCCTGTACTGTAGAAAGGACAGGTATTTCCCACAAAACATTTGGGTATTTTTATTTTATTTTCCTGAGAAAACGTTTATGATACCAAATTTTCAGCAATCAGTGATGCGATGGTATGAGCTGTGCCCGTTGGAAATCTTGCACTGTAAACTCTACCTGTGTCTGTGCTGCCCCTGCCCCTGCTCATGCCCCTTTGCAGACTGGCTGCCACCCGCAGAGCTTCACTGCTTCCCCAGGAGCCTGGGAGAACAGGGGTAGGGGGGGAAAACGCCACGGAGAGCCGGGTGGCAAGGAGAGATAGGTGCTAACTTGAGGATTCTGCAGGGAAAACCCCTGCTGCTGCCAGCTGCTCCCATCTCTCTCTGTCCAGGGGGCAGCTCCTAACTCTCAGCAGGGCCAGGTGGAAGCACGTGGAGGAAGCAAAGGTTTGGGATGACAGGAAGACTTGAGCCACAGATTCCTAGGTGCCATCAAGCAGTCAAACATCACGGGAGTGTCACAGTACTTTGTTACTGGGAATCTTTTCTTCAGTAACACAATTGTGAGAAGTATATTTAAAAATATACTGCCCTTGGCTGTGATCTGTCATGTAAGCTAAAGAGCATATGGAAGAGTCTTCACCAAAAGGCAGAAGGGAGCCCCAAATTCTTGTCTTCAGGAGCAAAATATTACATTGATACTTGAGAATTTTGTGGATTTCTGGAAAGTTCCGATACAGCTTCTGTATTGGTTTCTTGATTATGGTGAGGAATCACATCCCAGTGGCCCCTGTTGCTCCTGTTGAGCAGGAACATGGAAGCAGACTTACAGTTTTGGTAGGAGAGTAGTCAAGCTGCTGTATAATATAGGTAGCAACAGGCTTTGGTCACCTGTATAAAAAGTGCTGTAAGGCAGGGTAGGACTCCAATAAGTAAAGTACTGTCTGTAACACTGAAATAAAAGTTATCTGTGTGTAGATATATTAATCATCAAATGAGATGCAACTTTTTGAAACACCGGTATGAAAAATGAACTTCACATGTGTGAAACTTGCAAACCACAGAGGAGCATGGTGCTGTTTTCTGATACACTGTCAAAAGCTGCTCTTCTGAAACCACATCATCTTGGAGAACTAAAAAAGACGCTGTGTAAATTGCCTAATGCTTTTAAAAATAAGTGTGAACTACTCAGCCCCTCTCCAAATTTTAGCAAGTCAACCAAATAGTGCATAGTCGGTAAGCGTGTCTAACCCGCTGTGCCACAACTGGTGACTTACTATAAGAATTATATGAAGCATGCTAAATACGGAAAGGCTGCTTATAGCTGCACGCACAAAACGCCGTCCCGCACTGACATCTGCCCCCGCCTTCTGCTCCCCCCGGCCCGATGAGCTGCAGAAATCGCCTCTCCGGCGGCGGCTGCGGGTCCTGCAGGGAGCTGGCGGCCGCCTGGCTCCGCTGCCAAAGCCAACTGTGGCGTAGCCAGAGAAACGGGCAGCAAAAATAGAACAGCAGGATGGCTGCGCGTGGGCGAGGCAGAAACCACAGCGCCAGCAAAACCTCCCGGCGTTATTTTAGGACCGATACAGACAGGGGCCGTGGCGTTTTGCTCTCTTTTCACAAAACGCTCCCCGGGGGAGGGTGAGCGGGGAGAGGGGCGCGAGTCCCGGGCGAGGACCGTCCCTGTCCGGCTCCTGCCTCCCTGCCTCCTCCCTGGCGTATCCCCAGTGACACGGGCTGGGCAGGGGGAAGGGGTTAATCGAGCTCGGGGCCGGGCGGCGCGCAGAGGACGGGCGGCGGTTTGAAAGACAGAGACTGGACAGCTGTGTTTGCTGTGGTATTTTTAAACGCATTAATGCAGGCTCCAATCACCCGGCCATGCTTGACCTATTTTTGGCTCAGGCCGGCCATTGTTCTATTTCTGCCGCCGCTGGGCCACGAGGGTGTCAATTCAAATGCAAATGAGTTATCGCTGCTGCTCCCGCCAACTTCGCCCAGGCGCCTGGCCGAGGCACAGCCGGGAGCGGAGAGGGACGCGGGCACAGCAACGCGGGGCTAGGCTCGGGTCAACTCGGTTAAACCCTCCGCGGCTCCCGGTCCCTGGAAAGGTGGCTTATTCGGTTTGATGGTTTGTTAGAGGCAGTTTCCCCCCACCCGCCCTGCCAGGAAGCCCAAAGCGCAGAGATATTTCTTCATTTCTTCTTCCACCTGCCGCTGGCTGCCCGAACGCAACTGCTCAAACTCGGCAGCGCTCAGCCCCCCGCACGCTCACGGCTCCCTTCCTGCGGGCGGGGGCTGCCGACACCGGATTTGGGCTCCTTCCCTCTCCTCATAGATACTTGTGCAAATGCTTAAACACTGCTAATTGCCGAAGCATATTACCTTACAACCCTCGCTGGAGGAGGTAGGACCGCAGAGGGTCGTGCCCGACGCCTGTGTGCAAGTGCAGTGATGAATCTCTTGTGTAGCTGAAGTGCAGACCAGTTGGAATATGCTGCAGACAATTTACGAGAGTGAATCGTGTTTTTCCTCAGATGGGGTTTCTGGACGTGAACAGCTCTTGGCTCAGCAAAGAATGCACAGTATGATCAGCTCAGGTAAGAGACAGCTCCGTGCCTTAGACTTGAGTGGCAGACGGGGAACATACAGCCTAGCATGACAAGAAAACACCCTTCCTTTTAAGAAGTGACTTTATTTTTGTGGGCTTTATCTAAGTTTATCTAATTCTGGTGGTATTTTAGATAGCAGCTGCTGCTTTTGCGAGGAGTTTGTCTCCTTTGGTCTGCTGCTTTCCAGATGCAGCAAAACGCTCCCAACTGAAGCCGAGTTGGGGTTTCCTTGTTTGTTTTGTTGCGTGATTGCAAAATGGGGCTCATGGTACAGAGCTTGTTCACAGGAAGAGGCTTCCTCTGACAGACCTTGTCAGGAGGCTGCATTTAGAGCCCCTCATAAGCAATTCTAGTCATACGTCTATTGTAAACAGGATTTGCTCTTTCTGTGAGTTTCCTTTTCTCTAGTTTGCATATGAAGGGGGTTTAATACCAATTCCTTTCTCTTTTCATTACAGTGCTACTAGTGTAATGTATATATATAAAAAATGTTTAAAACATCTTTAAACTAACATGGTTTATTTTGTTCCTTGAAAAATATTTGTGAACCTGGCAGTGCTAGTTACATGTAATGGCTCACTGAGATACAAATTGGATGTGTTATTTTGTGAAGGTATTTCGAAGCTCCTCAGAAAGAACACTGCATGTTTCCTCATGTATTTCCAGCTATCCCTGTGTTTTCTAGTTTCTTTCCTAGCTGTGTTTGAGATCTGCTACTGAGGATAAATTAACTTGGAAGAAGTGTTGCCATTCAATCATGGCAATAAATTAGATGGGCTAAAATGTCAACATTTCACGTTGTCTACCCTTGCCTATTCTCTCCTAAAGTCTGTTAATTGCAGTTCAGTTTTCACTGGGATGAAACTCTAGTCTGTTAAGGCACAGTATTTTCCAGTTTATATCTATTTAAACCTAGGTTTCTGACTTCGTTTTTCAGAAAGTGTTAATTTTATAGAAGATCCTTACATGGAATGCAGGGTGAATTGTTTGCATGTATTTTAGTCTTAGTTTGTGCCCCCTTTGCTCTTTTTCTTCTTTCCCAAAACTTGACTGACCTTAATTTTTAAAGGTAATTATGTGTGTATACCATACCTCTCTTCACATTATACCTTTTTTGGTACACCTGTTGAGCCTATGTCTGTTTTTTGAAAACTGTTTATTTTCCTGCTGTGTAGAAAAAGAGCTAGAAATATTACTTGTGCTCCTTTCTTACATACAGTTTTACATTGTTGTTCACCAATTTCAGCTCCTTTGTCAGGACACAAATCAGGTGAAGGCATATTTACAATTATGAACAGTGAAGCTCTAGCAAAGACTGTGGGTAAGAGCAAAAGTTTTCCTGGAAGTGTTGCAGTTCTTCTGCAAAGCCATCTACAGCGTCAACTTCTTATTCAAGAATTGTTGCTTTGCTTTATTGCATTTCCTTAGTTTTCCTGAACTGCTCAACAGGTGTCCAGTGTTTTTAAATGGGTTAAAGATAAGGCTGATTGTGTTCTCTCCCTCCTGTTCGGCTTTTTGTTGTTTTTGAATTTTGGGGGGCTTTTATTTATTTTTTTTACTACTAAGTCAAGTTAAAATTCATGGTTCATGAATGAAAATTTGGGGGGTTTATCTCACTCTTAACTGCCAACTAATATAATAGCAGTTTTTTCATTTGAAACTCAAGAAAAGGAGGTGATTCTCTGTAAGTTTATAGTTCTGTTTGTCTTCATTGGAAATAAGAATGTCACATAACTGTTGATTTTTATCTGATAGTACATTAGGTAAATCCATATAACATACACAATTTCCCTATAGTGCCAAGTTGAGACGAGGGAGTGGCTTTAGACTAAAAACAATCCCCACAAAAGCTTATTCAATAGCATTATCCAGATAAAAATGTTTAAATATATATATATCTATATATATATATATTCTGTGGAACATGAAATATTTCTCTGTGTTTCAGTTGGCCTTTAAAATACACAACTAGACTATGAGTAGCTGACATTACACATAGTCTGCACTTTCAGTTCGTGTCATGTGAAACCTCAAAGCCTGGTGTTGCTCTTGGTTGCAGCTCCCTCAAGTTCAGCATCTTGCAGGATCAGTTCTGGTAACTTTTCATTGTTTCCATATATGATGCATATAGGGAAGAAAGAAATAGCTAGGGTATGACAGTATGCACTAGCATTTGGAGAAGAACCAGAAACAGACATTTGAATTTTCCTTTTCACAATGCCCTTAAAGTTAGCTTTGCTTAAATGTATGTGACTTATACTCACGTTAAAAAGTTGCATGTAGTTAAGAAAATAACAGATTCCTGAAGGTTTGTGCTTTCTCCAGAGACTTCAAGAATAACTTAAACCAGCCAAAAACAGTCAGATTTTTAGGTTTGCTGGTATCCAGATACAATGCACATGTATTATGCAACTGATTTTAAACTGGGCTGGAGACATCCCCAAATAGGACAGGTTCACAGGTCAATGGATTGGATTTGCAAAGCAAAATGTCTAAAAATTTTTCACAAGAGCAGGCATGGGAAATATTTCTGTCATGAGAATCATTTCTCCTGGTATTCCCTCAATTACTGCCTTGCCTGTCTGTCTCCATCCTTGCTTGTAAGTCATACTATGAATGAGATGATCTGGATAGGTACCAATCAAAAGTCTAATTATGAATGGAGCAATCTAGATCGGCGCTGACTCAAGAGGCTGTGTAATTTGCAGACACCTACACCTTACTGCAGAGAGCCGTTTCAGCTATCTTGAGAAGACTGAACTAAATTCTCCCATATGGTGCTGTTGCTCTAAAATGCAGCAGCAAGTGCTGTGCATCTTTATTTAAGAAAATGATGCTGATGTATTCTTAGTTGATACCATAATTTTTTTACTTTCACATTAACTAAATAAGTCTGGGGTCTAAAGCCTCTTATTTAGCTGGAATTACTATTTGTCCCTTTTACTTTACACAAAAGGAGTCAATTTCTATGTGTATTCAATGCCACAGTGGATCCTGACATCTAGCTGGCCTCTGATCTTTCCAAAGTACAGGTAATAAACTGTAAGTCCTTGAAAAAAAAGCATTTGGTGCAACACATTCCACTGAAAAACACTCATTAAGTTGTAGTTAATAAATAACCAATGCAGGACTACATTTCTTAAATAGATGGTAGTTGTGTGAAGGAGAAGGAAGGACCTAACCAGTCCTGGTATCTGTAGATGTGGGACTTCAGAAAGTAATGCCAGCTTTTGGTGATTTAATACACAGTGCTGGTTTTTCAAAGGGTAAGGTTGTTAAGTCTTCTCCACTGGGCATATCTTGATGTACAGCCTTGCAGTACCCTGCTTGAATTCCACCTTGGTTTTTATTGGATAAGGCATCCTCTGCTTCCTGCCCAAAGCTATTGTGTTGAAAAATCAAGAGTTCAAGGAGATCGCGAGCTTAAAGCTTGGCTTGGCAATGAGTTGACAGGTGACCTGAGCAAGTTACACAATCCTGCTTATGTCAGCTAATCCTTCTGTGAAACACAGTAAATGATACCTGTCAGGGTCAGGAATCGATAGAGCAAAACTATTCTAAAGGGAATATAACGGTTCAGAATGATTGATTTGATTGGCTTCATCCACCTACAGGTTTGTAAAATACCTGCGATTTCACAAGTGTCACAAGTGGATGTAGTGAATGTTTATTCTCTGCGCCAGTCAGGAAGTGTAAGCTGTGTCACTTGAATATAAATGACAGAATTACTGCTGCACGCATCATGCTGTACGTGGGCTGACAGGTCCTCCTGAGCGATCTTCCCTCAGTAAACCCCAGTTTGTCTTCTGTGTTGTCTCTGCCATGTGTCTGCATGACCTTGTATGCGCCTGGATTGCTTTACACATGGATTTATATTGCCTTCAGGGAAAAGTTCTTTGGTATTTGCTCTCCCCCTTTTTTTTTTCTGGACAAAACCTTCACCTGCTTACATTTTCCTGTGGAGAACCTGCAGAAAGCAAGTTCATTTAAAGTTTTGCCCTGATACTCATGAAAAACTTGACATGTTTGTGTATCTCAGTCAGGTAACAAGCTTCTTACAGATAAAAAATGCTTCATTGATGGTATCTCAGGTAGTAACACTTTGGAGAGAGCAGAAAGAATGGGAATAGATGTGCTGAGCTTTGTGGTTCTCTACAAAGTAATGAAAAATTGAGCGTGGGAATTCAGTATAGGGAAGTTCTGGATAACAACCAGAGTTGCTTTTTCAATGCCTGTTGTAAAGGTGAGGTACAAAATAATCTGGTGCTTCATAGTTGTACCAAAGTATTTGAATTAATTGTTAGGGAAGTGTAAGGCCGTAGCTATATACAGTTAATACAGTGAGAAGAAACAAGCAACACAGAGCTGCAGGTCTTATGTAGTTAAAATCTCACTAATTTTGAGTAGAGGCTCTGCTCTGCAATGTATGCTGGACAAAACTTTTGTTATAAATTCAGTTGAACAAAGACCTGGTGAAATGGAATGAAGCTGCTTTTTGTTTTATGTTTTGAGACAACATTGAATACAGACCAATGTTGCCAATTTCATGTGTCTAATGCTGTAACAACTAATGCCATAACATTGCCTTTTCCTTCTTTTGTTTTTTTATTCCAGTCATAGCTTCTGATGCTATGTGGTTACCTGATGGTCTTGCTTTGTATTAGGAGGTATATTTATAGCTTGTGAGAAAAGCCTGAAATTCGAAGTACAAGACTGACAAGAATAGCATGTTAGAAAAGCTGGAAAGTAAATAAAAAAACTATGCAAAACATTATTTCATCTTTCAGTGCTTTTCAGAGACCATTAAACACTGCATTTAGTACAGAGTTTCTCTAGTACTGGTGCTAGAACACTAGCTCCCCTCTCTTCAGTGTGTTGAACTAAATATCTTTATTGGAAAACAGCTTTTTACTTCAGTCGTTTATTGCTTTAGCTGTTTGGCTTTATAACATCTATTGGTTTGCATGGCACTCAAACACACAGTTCCA